ATTTGTCATCAACAAAGTCAGAATTATGAGATGAGTACAAATGTAACCGTTGCAAGTTTGCCTTTTCTAGTGTGGAGATGCAGCTGGAAGCATTTTCAGTGGGCGCTGATTTTTTCTACAAACTCATCGATGAAACGGCATGGATTAGCTCAAGGGTAAGAATACACAAATCTCTACTTTATTATGATCATTCAATTGTTTTCTCACCTTTTTTAAGTGTACAATTGTCTGAAAATGTGCTGATATTATATGTCAACTGTCAGCACCTGGAAATGGCAACCTTTCTTATTCGGAAAAGTCAACTCTCTCATCCATTGCTATTTGGAACCGACTGGACAACGGCAGATTATGCCTTGCAGGTAAACATGTTACCATGTTACATTCACTGCTTCATTTGCTTTCGGTTGTCATTATGTAATATGCCTTCATTTCAATGTCTGCAGCAATTTCTAGAGCCATTAAAACCGACTGCCAAGACACGTGCATCGAAGAAGGCAGCTGCTTCAAACACCAATGACCTTCCACCCAACAAGCTGAAGAATATACATCACCTTGTGCACGGTACGTGGCAACACGGGCATGCCCAAGCTTGGACAAAAGTCCGGAAAGTCTATTTTCCATATAATCTTCGAGGGTCCCATTGGGTTGCAATCGAAATTGATTTCGTCAGATATACTGCAACTGTGTATGACTCATATGTTGCTTTTACCAAATCTTCGAAGCTGGTTACACTTCTGCACCCTGTTAGCGATACGCTGGCATGAGTGCTGTACAATATGAAGTTTAATGAAGATTCTGAGGTTGAAGAGGTTAAGCAAAAGGGGCTGCAGATGTCGAGCTTTACGCCATTCTCAGTTTGCATCATTGCAGATGTGCCACAACAACGAGATGGGTAAGCTTTGTGAATTGAGTGCAGTTTATCCAAATTTTACATAAATGCAGTTGTAATTTCCCAACTTATTGGCCTCACAGTACGTCTTGCGGAATCATGACCGTTCAATTCATCGAGCATCTCAGTGCCGGGCTTTCGATGAATAAAGTTGACCCGTTGAAGATCAAATATTACCGACTGAAGCTTTCAATAGAGGGTTTAAGGGGGGAGGCATATTTATGAGGTAAATGTCTTAATGTGTGTGAATTAACCTCAGTGTGGACTTATGACTTGGGATTCACTTTGCTCATTATTTATGTCAGAAACTCCTTGATATGAAGATGTAGACGTGGCAGCTTTGCTGGGGGTACTTTGGCTCGTAATCCTGCCCTTTTGCTAGAGCTAGTTGGTTTTGTTAGTATTGTGAGGTGTAATATTGTACAATCTAGAAGCAGTGGCTAATTGCCTTACATGGCACACACACTGTTTCGATTTTGAAGGTTAACTATTTTGGACACCTCCATATGTAAATATAGTTGCTGTTTATGGATGCTTTTATAGTCACTGTTTATGGATGCTGTTATAGTTGCTGTTAATGGATGCTTTTATAGTTGCTGGTTATGGATGCTTTTGTAGTTGCTGGTTATGGATGCTTTTATAGTTGCTGGTTATGGATGCTTTTTATAGTTGTTGTTTATGGATGCTTAAGAATGGTTAATTATCTGACTTGATCGGTGAACTTCAGGTACTATTTTCATAATTTTTACTCTGCGTTGCCAGTGGAACTCGTACAACATTTTTATTTGGTGTTATTTTTGTATGAGTTTTTAATTTTTTAATGCATTTGGTCAACTTTTTATCAGTTAGTTTATTTATTTAGGAGCTTGTGTCTTGTTGCTGAAAAAATTGATGGATTTGTGTTTATTTCTGTTTTGTTTGCAGTCTTTGTTGAATGGAACCGGAGAACAATCAGAAGGTGACTTTGAAGCGATCGCATCACAGGTATTGGAAAAACTGCTATAAATTTAATGTTGAAGGATGCTTGATCGAGTTAAATTATTGTTTTTTCTAATGGATATCAATTTTCCTGTGTTACTTTCTTTTAGGTGCGCCGACTGGCAGCTGAGGTCCGGCAACTTGGCTCGTCACGTCATATAACCGGCCTGAAGGGGAATGACAGCCAAATTGGTATCTCACTTTCTCTGCTGTGTTCAAATGAATTCTTAGCATGCTTTGTGCTTTTTCCTCTTGCTTATAACCACTAAATTAATGCATGGTCCTGCCCTTACTTTTTGGTTAATTTCTAAAACTTCTATTCGTTACATGTTATAATTGGTTATATTTTTTCATTGATTTTTTTCCGTAGGTTTGCCATCACTAATAATGCCAGCAGCTACCTTGGGGGCATTTGGTTATGGTTACATGTGGTGGAAGGTATCCAGATGATATATTTATGTACATATTATTTCATTCATTGGTTCTGTGAGTTGTTGTCTTCTTTAAGAAAATCTAATATATGCTCTTCACAAATGGTTAGGGTCTAAAATTCTCAGATCTTATGTATGTGACAAAGCGTAGTATGACTGCTGCTGTTTCAAACTTGCATAAACATTTGGAGAGCGTGACAGAGGCTATTGCTGTAAGTTTCTTTTCAGCTGTCTATTCTGTTTGTGTGTGAGGCACAGGTTGTCTTGGAGTGACTCCAAGGCACCTTCGGTGTGATGACGGAATTTATCTAATTTCTCAACTTGAAACCTTTGGTGCGATGGCAAAGGCCAGAGTGAGTCCGGATCTCTCATTTCTTCCTATCTTCCCTTACCGTTCTACATCAGTTTGGTATCAGAGCATCCTCCACCATGTTCTTATATGGTGAGAGATCCTGTGTACTGGGGGCAGATGGTCACCTTGGCAACCAACTTAAGATCATTCTACCTCAACATGTCAAACTCGAGGTCGAGTTTTCTGCAACGAAGGGAGAATGATGCACGAGCAAAGTTCAAGTTTAGTAAGTAGGAATCTTTCTAGTTTCCTACGTAATAAATGCAATTTTCTAAGGTATACTGTCTTTGAGTCTCCCTATGGGACACGATTAATGTATTAGGTGTAATAATTATGTCTTTATAATTCCCAAGTGTGTTAATGTGGATCTTTCAAGATTGATGTACCAATTATCCTATAAAAGGGCTACTTTGTAAGCATAAGATCAGAGTTAGTGAAAGGAAAAAAAAAAAAGTTCATATGAATTTTTGATTGTGTGTGAGGCACAGGTTGTCGTGAAGTGATTCCAAGGCACCTCCGGTGTGATGTCCGAATTTATCTAATTTCTCAACTGGAAACCTTTGGTGTGATACCAAAGGCCACAATGAGTTTGGACCTCTCATTTCTTCCTATCTTCCCTCATTTTCCTACATCATGTATTTTCTGGGTGAAAGATAACTTAATCCGGTGCATGATAAAACAAATGTCTTTTTCATTAGCTATGCATTATTTGCTTTCTCATGTCATGCGTTATTTTTTTTTCCCATACTCTAATTATGATCCGACATGCAGCTCCTCATAGAAGAATCATGATATTATATGTTGTTGTGCCTCTAAATTAGTAGGCCTGACGTCGTTTATTGTATCTACAGAATGGCCCTAACTCATTGGACATATCGGGAGATCCTTACAAGAGGGTATATGATCTATTCCTTCTATTTTGTTTTTATCAGAAGGTTACTTTAATCAAACAAATAAGATCAATACATCATCATAGTTTATACTATTCTACATTTCACTTTTCATCTTAAATTGGTTGGGATTCAAGGGAAGATGTTGCCTTTTCTTTTGTAATAACAGTAGAAATATTGTTGGTGAATATATTTGACAGTCCATGATACTGAGAAATACTCAAAATTGTCTTTTGAGAACTAGTTCATTGTCTTTGGAAAAAAAATGTTTTCTTTGATTGATATGATGTAGAGGAAGATACTTTAATCAAACTGATATCATGAATACATCACCATAGACAAGAAGTCCCCGTATACAACAATACAAATGTAGTCCCACAAATCCTGACAAATCTAAAGTGCTAACAATTTTAGACCTTTTACATTCCAAATTTTGTTTTGTCTAGACTACACTTCACCTTGCATCTTGACTGGATGTGTAGAATATGGTTAGGAAATATTGTTGGTGAATAGATTCTGACAGTCCATGATACTGAGAGGAAATTAAATTTTCTTCTTCTAGTTTCCCTGAACAGTTGAAATGAAATAAAAATGTATACTGCCACAATACATAGAGGGTTTTATCCTATGCTTGTCTTCTTCTTTGAGCTTTTTGTTCGGAGTGAAAGATAACTTAATCGGGTACATGATAAAACAAATGTCTTTTTTATTAGCTAAAAATGAGGCCTCGCTTGCTAAATGGCTTTGGAGGTACC